CACACACACACACACACACACACACACACACACACACACACACACACACACACACACACACACACACACACACACTCCTTTCAAACAGCCATTTGGCTGACTATCTATTAAATGCCAGCAGTCAGCCTAATGCTTTACCTTCTCCACTCGGAAAGTGATCTCTTTGGAGGAGAGGTGCAGAATGGGTGCGATGAATTCACATGTGACGTCCACTTGCATTATCCGTTCCTTCCCAGACTGCTTCCCTATAATGGCATGGCAAATCAATCGTTCCTTCACCACCTGTGCAGGAAACAGTCACAGCTCATTGTCAGTGCGACACTAGCAGCAGTACTGAGATACGTCTTGGCTGCTGGTACAAAGCCAATGGGTTCCATGTGCACGAACAGCAGCCTGTTACCTATTCTTGGCACTCACTGGGCACCATAGCCTATAGGAATAAAGCTATATACATCTGTCTGTAACATTTCCTGTGTTTCTCTATACTGCACTCTGTTTTTTCAATACTAACATTTCCATAATACCATGTGTTCTGCAACTCCTGATGAAGACACTTGAGAGTTAGGTGCTACCTATGACCATAATAACTAAAGCATCAAATTAATATTTTTATGATCTATCCCTTTGCCAAGCACAACACTTTTATAAAACTGGAGGGAATCATTTTTTAAAAAATAGGTGTTATATTAAGGAAAATAGATAAAAAAGGAATCCTGATGACAGCAAACCTGCCCTCAAAACCATCACAGAAATTATAGGCAGAAAGGACCCTATAATCCAGTCAGCTCTTTTCCTTGTCAAAGCAAGATTCCTTCCTCCTCTATGTTTGTGTTTGTCTGATCCAGTTTGAAAAGTTCTCTGCGTTGGGGCTTGCAACACATTCCTTGGGAGTCAACTGGCCAACACAACAACTCTCACGTCAGGAGATTTTTCTGAGTCACCTTACACAAAAACATAAGAACGGTCATACTGGGTCAGACCAAAGGTCCATCTAGCTTAGTATCCTGTCTTCCAAAAGTGGCCAATGCCAGGTACCCCAGAGGGAATGAACAGAACAAGTAATCATCAAGTGATTCATCCCCTGTCGCCCATTCCCAGCTTCTGGCAAACAGAGGCTAGGGACACCATTCCTGCCCATCCTGGTTGATAGCCATTCATCCATGAACTAATCTAGTTCTTGTTTGAACCCTGTTATAGTCTGGCCTTCACAACATCCTCTGGCAAAGAGTTCCAGGAGACTGTGTGTTGTGTGAAAAAATACTCTTTTGTTGGTTTTAAACCTGCTGCATATTAATTTCATTTGGTGAACCATAGTTCTTGTGTTATGAGAAGGAGTAAATAACATTTCCTTATTTACTTTCTCCAAACCTGTCATAACTGTATAGCCCTCTATCATATCCCCCCTTAACCCTCTCTTTTCTAAGCTGAAAATTCCCAGTCTTATTAATCTCTCCTCATACGGAAGCCGTTCCAGACCCCTAATAATTTTTGTTGCCCTTTTCTGAATCTTTTCCAATTCCAATATATCTTTGAGATGGGGCGACCACATCTGCATGCAGTATTCAAGATGTGGGTGTACCATGGATTTATATAGAGGCAACACGATATTTTCTGTCTTATTATCTATCCCTTTCTTAATGATTCCCAACATTCTGTTCACTTTTTTGAATGGATGTTTTCACAGACTTATCCACAATGACTCCAAGATCTTTCTTGAATGGTAAAAGCTAATTTAGACCCCAGCATTTTATATGTATAGTTGGGATGATGTTTTCCAATGTGAGTTACTTTGCATTTATCAACATTGAATTTCATCTGCCATTTTGTTCCCCAGTCACGCAGCTTTGAGAGATCCTTTTGTAACTCTTCACAGTCTGCCTGGAACTTATCTTGAGTAGTTTTGTATCATCTGCAAATCTTCTTCAATTTCATCCCATTACTCCTAAGCTATCCCCTGTGGTGCTATAACAACACTTTTCCTCCTTCCCTGGAGTTTGGCGCCCTCCCGGTACTTGCTAAAGTTGTCACATAACCAAGCTATGTACCCAGAGCTCTTCTCAGTCTTGAGCTGAGGCCTGCAGAGCTGCCGGGCAGTGAACACCTACATGCTGCCACCGAGCAGCATCTATAACCAGCTCATGCTCCATTACCCAGGCCTGCTGCAGGCACAGACCACGGAAAGTCCTGCCTCAAGGGATCTGAGAGGCAGCCGCCTCATGACTCCTGATTGGCTCCCCACCCTAGGTAAACCCAAGGGATGGTCCACAAAGTGTCTAGGCAACAGTGTGGATCTCCTGTAGCTGCCATGATCATTCCCGTTCTTGAATTCCTGTCTTTGACCTTGGCTTGATTTGGATCTCGCCTCCTGACCTGGACTCTGACCCCAGCCTGGAATTTGACCATGAACTCCTCTGCTACTCCCAGCCCCAGGTTTCACCTGGCTCTGACCCTTGGTCCCGACTGCCCTTGTCAGGATCCTGACAGCAAGTCAGTCCCTCTAGCCTCCTGATCGTTTGATTCTCTTCTTTAGGCCCAATCCAATGTGTCAACATCTATCAGGTAATGAGGTGCCCATAACTAAATAGGATACCCCAGTAGCAGTCCTAACAGAACCGTACAGCAACCAGAATCTCTGCTGCCTGGAAAAAGCCATGCAGAAGTGCGAAAACTGGGTTTTCTTCTGCCACCAGTTGGGACGGACAGCTTCACTCCCACTTCTGAGTCCTCCCCAAGCCTCAAACCAATGGTGCAAGGCTCCTTTCACTCAAGGAAGGAAAGGGGAGTGTGGGGTCAGTGGAAAGGGATGATTAGGTCCCTGTGCTGTAATGTGCATACACACAGCCCTGAACTTTGTTGTCCATTATCACATCTAAGTCTCTTTCAGCATTCCCGGTTTCCCCCCCGTTAGCCGGTTGGAGCCTGGGTTTAGTGCCTTTCACAGCATGCTGCAGTGCTATACTTGATGTCCCATGCTGTCCCTGGGACAGAAGGGCAGGGCATACTGGGATGGAAAATATTGATGAGAAACGAGCTGTCAAATATAATGATCTGTGGGAACAGCCTCTTAGAGTGGAAGATATCACTCTGCGTTCTTTAAAAACAATGCATTAGGTCTAACGTTTCCCGACAGGACACAGCATGTTAAATGGACATTTTTAAAATTTCTTTATAAATATAAGTAATGCCTGTGTTCAAGGTGACTCGCCCCGTTACATAGCTGTGTTTTGGATTATTCCCCTCTCCCATTAGATTACCTTGCATTTTTCTAATTACTTTCTGGCTGTGATCCTAATCTCTCCAGACACTTCAATATTATTTCTTCAGACTTCCCTTCTGCCTCAGCACATGACTCCCTGTAACTTGTTGCTTGCCCCAGAAGTCAGCTGGTATTTTGGCATTTGAATGTTGGGTTTATGGTAGCTATAGTAACAAGAAAAGCCTTAGCGACTAATAGTGCCCAAGCAAGAAAAGCAACTGGTGCTACCATGGTAACTTGTGGCATTACAGCAATTCTTGAAAGAAATTGATCATTTTCTAAGATAAATGTCAAGGGACCAGCCTAAGAAATACCAGTGGCAACAATCTAATTGAAACGCTGCAGCTCTTGCAGTCCTTTACCTTAGGGGTGTCAGAGGAGCCTTCCAGCATCACATCCATGGTCTTGCCTGGGATCAGCTCCATCCTTAATGGTCGAAGCTTAAACACCGGAGAGGGGGTCTCTGGTCTCTGGGGGGAGTTCTTGCCCTTGGCATTACCGATAGCAGGGAAATGGTTACGCTGGCGAAATGGAGGGAAACCTTCTGTCATCCAGTAGAGCTGATGGGTTCGTCGTCCACGATTGGTTATCTTGAAGCGATAGCAGCAGGGATCCAGACTAGAAGAACAGCAGAATAGAGGCAGATGGAAAAGGTTACTGATGGTGGGGTGTCTCTATTGAGAGAGCAAAAGGTCATTTATTTAACTGGGAAGATACTAGAGAAACGTATAAAACATTCAATTTGCCAATACCGGGTGGAGGGAGGAGGGATGAAGGGGTGATCACTAGCAGCCAGCACAGATTTACCAAGAACAAATCATGCCAAACCAGCCTGATACCATCATACCTTCTTTGACAGGGTAACTGGTTTGGTGGATAGGAGGAATGCGGTGGACATAATATACCTGGACTTCAGCAAGGCTTTTGACACAGTCCCACGTGACATTCTGATAAGTCAGCTGGAGAAATGCGGGTTTGGCGGAACTCCCATTAAGTGGATACAGAATTGATTAAACAACCACAAACAAAGAGAAACTATTAATGGAATGATGTCAGTTTGGAGGGAGGTCTCAAGTGGGGTTCCACAGGGATCTGTTCTGGGTCCGGTGTTGTTTAACATCTGTGTCAATAACCAGGATGTAAGAATAAAGCGCATACTGATCAAATGTGCAGATGACACAAAGCTTGGGAAGGAGTGGGGGGGGGGGAGACTGCCAACATTTTGGAGGATAAAGCTACAATTCAGAGGGATCTTAATAAATTGGAGAACTGGGCTAAAGACAAAAACATGAAATTCAACAAAGACAAATGTAAGATGCTACACTAGGGAAGAAAAACCAAATGCACGAATACAGAATGGGGGATAACTGGCTTGGCAGCAGCGCTGCTGAGAAAGATCTGGGAGTTGTGGTGGATCCCAACCTCAACATGAGTCAGCAATGTGATGTTGTGGCAAAAAAAGAAATGCAATTTTGGTTGCATTAACAGAGGCATAGCATGGAAGTGATAGTACCGCTCTACTCAGCACTGGTTAGGCCTCAGCTGGAGTAGCGTGTCCAGTTTTGGTCACCAATGCATAGAAAGGATCCAGAGGTGAGCGACAAAGATGCTCAAAGGGCTGGAATGCAAGTCATATGAGCAAAGGCTGAAGGAACAGGGTAGGTTTACTTTGGAAAAGAGGAGATTAAGAAGGGACATGATAGCAGTCTTCAAATATTGAAAGGCTGCCATAAAAAGATGGAGAAACATTGTTCTCTCTTGCCCCAGAAAGCAGGACAAGAGTCAGTGGGTTCAAACTACAGCACAGCAGATTTAGATTAACTCTCAGGAAAAGCTTCCTATCTGTAAAAACAGTAGGCCAATGGAACAGACGCCTAGGGAGCTTGTGGAAGCTTCTTCACTGGAGGTTTTCAAAGGTTAGTTTAGACCCAACAAATCTTGCATCTTGCCAAGGGGTTAGACTAGATGACCCTTGTTGTCCCTTCTAACCCTATGATTGCTGCAACGCAGCTATTCAACTGCACCCACAGCAATAACACTAACTCTTAACAGAATGCCATGTTGTGACATCCAAAGAGACTTGTGTGGCTTGAAGCGATGGCTAACACAATATACTTTTTGAAGAGTCGCTCTGTGCCAAATGGCCCTCAGTTTATGGAGCGCCTCCTAACAAGCTGCAATAAAGAATCAGGGCCGGCTCCAGGCACCAGCGCAGGAAGGGGCGGCACGTCCGCGTCTTCGGTGTCAATTCGGCAGCGGGTCCCTCGGTCCCTCTTGGAGGGAAGGACCGGCTGCCAAATTGCCGCCGAAGAATGAAGCGGAGCAGTAGAGCTGCCGCCGAAGTGCCGCCGATCGCAGCTTTAGCTTTTTTGTTCCCCTTCGCCGCTTGGGGCGGCAAAAAAGCTGGAGCTGGCCCTGTAAAGAATGAAACAGAAAGGACCAAATCTCAGCATTTGCAGTAATTATGCTTCTCCTTACCTTTATCTCTTTAATATCCTCTACGTATCTGTGCAAAGCTAGTCCCCAGAGTCCCACAAAGTGAGCTGGTTTAAACTGGCCATGGCAGGAGAGGCAAGCAAGTACCCAGCCCTGTTGTCTGTTACAACTTCCCTTCAGTGCAGCCGCTGAGCACAGGTGGTGGCTCAGGCTAGGCACAGGAGTACAATCCTGCCTGCCCCCTGATATGAGCAGCTAGCTCGAGCCACTGTGGCCAGACTGCTGTTTTCAGCACGCTAGATCAATCAGATTGTAGACACCTCCCAGCCGCAGTGTAGCTACATAAAGATCCATCTACATTTTACAAAATAAACCTTGGAGGACTGGAGGGGAGATATTGACCCTTTCCCAACATGACCCTGAAAGGACTGAATCCTGTCTGTGATTCCTCTCATTAAGATCACTGCACTGCCAAGCCAATGGAGCTTGACAAACCCCCAGGCCTCCCTGTGGGAACTGGCTGAGATAACTGGATTCATGCATGACCTCCAGGGATTTCAGACTAAAGGAAAGGATGGGCACTGGGTGGCCTGCATCCTGCAACTCCATTTCCTAGAGAAGCTAAAGCTTTTTTTGCTGCTAAAGAGATCCTCTTTCATTGCAATGAGAAAACACAGTGTGCATCTGTATTTGAACATCTGGGTAGACTGTCACCCTTTTCTTCAACTGCTACAGATTAATGGCCTGCTCCAGATAGGAGCTGAGTGCCTTTAACTTCTACCCCACCAGGAGGTGCTCACCACCTAGCAGGATTGGGCTCTAAGGCTTTGTTCTCATTGAAGAGATTCTGAGAAGACGGTGGTAAGCGTGCTACAAGAACTAGACAGAGTCAATAGTTTCCCCATTAGCTACAGTGAGCACAGGGCCGGGCCCTGTCTGCTGTTAGACTGGAGTGACATCAGGGGCTAAATAACAAGAGCTAACATGAAATGAATAGTCAATGAGACATTGATTCCATTATGCACAGAAACATCAAGTGTAAGGTAGTAATTATTTCACTGGATACTAATATAAGCATGACTGGCAGAGGAATTGTTCATGGCACAGTTACTGTCTTGTTTTGGAGGTAAAGAATATGCAGCCAATGAAAAGTGAGTATAACATACCTGGCTAAATACAAAAACAGAATTTACACCATATTCCAAGTTAGTCCGTGAAAGAAAGTGTTAGAAATGCATTTGAAGCATACAATGGCTGTGTGAAATATGCCATCTCGTGCAATGCGCAATGACAGATCTGAACTTTAAATCAGGTTCTGTACAGATGCTTAATTTCTGGTTCAGTAAAAGCCAAATTCATCTTAGTATCTATGCCCCACTTCACTTTATTTAGTTGCAGTTTTGCAGCTAGTTGGAATGGTGGCTTAACCGCAGGAAGATGCTGCCGGATAGGAGGAGAAAGACTGTCAGAAGAACATGAATCGAGTAATGCTGCCAACATCTTATCACTATGCATCCAATCTGGCCTTCAGGACATGTCTGATCAACCATCAGGAATAGCCATGGAAACAGTGGTGGACAAACCCAAGCCTTTATGGAGCTTTTAGTTAAGGCCGCAAGTTTGTCACGGAAGTCACGGATTCCATGACTTTGCGTGACCTCCATGATTTCTGCAGCGACCGCTACACCTGGCCCTGCAGCAGCGCAGGCAGCCTCTGGGCCAGTTGCACCAGCCACTGCTGGGGAAGTCTTGGGCCACCGCGCCCCCCCTTCCCCCAGAAGCAGCAGGAGTTTGGGTGTGGGAGAGGGCAGGGGATTGGGGCAATGGACAGGGTGAGGCAGGCTCTGGGCAGCGCTTACCTCAGGGAGCTCCCCAGAATCAGCAATATACCCCTTGCTCAGCTCCTAGGCAGAGGCGTGGCCAGGTAGCTCTGCGTGCTGCCTCTGCTTGCAGGCACCACCCCCACAGCTCCCATTGGCAGTGGTTCCCGGCTAATGGGAGCCGCAGAGCCAGTGGTCTGGGCAGAGGCAGCACACAGAGCTGCCTGGCCATGTCTCTGCCTAAGAGCTGAGCGAGGGGGATGTCGCTGCTTTCGGGGAGGCACGGAGCCAGGTAGGGAGCCTGCCAGTCCCGCCAGCACCAGTGGGGGTCCCGGGCTGCACTAGGGTTGCCAGGCATCTGGTTTTCAACCAGAATTCCCGATCGAAAAGGGACCCTGGTGGCTCTGGTCAGCACCGTTAAATGTCCAGTTGGTGGCACAGCGGGGCTAAGGCAGGCTCCCTGCCTGCCCTGGCTCCGTGCAGCTCCCAGAAGCGGCCGGCATGTCCGGCCCCTAGACGCAGGGACGACCAGGGAAGCTCCACGTGCTGGCTCTGCTCCCAGCACCGGCTTTGCAGCTCCCATTGGCTGGGAACCATGGCCAATGGGAGCTGTTGGGGTGGCGCCTGCAGGCGCAGGCAGCATGCACCACACAGAACCTCCTGGCTGCGCCTCCACGTAGGGGCCGGACAAGCCAGCCACTTTCGAGAGCAGTGCGGAGCCAGGGACCACCTGAGGTAAACGCTGCCCGTCTGGAGTCCGCACCCCAAACCACCTGCCCCAGGTCGGAACCTACTCCCGCACACTAACTCCCTCCCAGACCCCGCACCCCACCCCCTTCCCCAGATCAGAACCCCCCTCCTGCACCCAAATTCTCCCAGAGCCTGCACCCCCTTCCACACCCCAATCACCTACCCCAGCCCTGAGCCCCCTCCCGCATTCCAACCCCCTTGGCCCCAGCTCGGAGCCCCCTCCTGCACCCCAAAACCCTGATCCCCAGCCCCACCCCAGAGCCCTTACCCCCAGCCAGAGCCCTCACCCCCTCCGATACCCCTGCCCAGAACCCCTTTCCGCACCCTGAACCCCTCATTTCTGGCCCCACTTGGAGCCCTCACCCCCAGTGAAAGTGAGTGAGGGTGGGGCAGAGCAAGTGACGGGGGGGGGGGAGCTGGAGTGAGTGGGGGCAGGGCCTCAGAAGGGCAGGGGTAGGGTCTCAGGGAAGTGGTATTTGGTTTTGGGCAATTAGAAAGTTGGCAATCCTAGGCTGTGCACTGCTGCCCTCCCCCGCCCAGCACCAGCGGGGGTCCTGGGCTGCGTGCCACTGCCCTCCCCCCGCCCAGCACCAGCGGGGGTCCTGGGCTGCGTGCCACTGCCCTCCCCCTCCCAGCACCAGCGGGGGTCCTGGGCTGCGTGCCACTGCCCTCCCCCCTCCCAGCACCAGCGGGGGTCACGGGCTGCACGCCACTGCCCTCCCCCCTCCCAGCACCAGCGGGGGTCACGGGCTGCACGCCACTGCCCTCCCCCCTTCCAGCACCAGCGGGGGTCCACGGGCTGCACACCACCGCCCTCCCCCCCCAGCACCCGTGGCGCCCCAGGGCTGCTCCCCCCCCAGCATCCCGGGCACCCCAGGGCCGCCCCGCTCCAAGATTTATTCAGGGTTATATAGTAGAAGTCATGGACAGGTCATGGGCCATTAATTTTTGTTTACTGCCTGTGACCTGTCCGTGACTTTTACTAGAAATACTCGTGACTAAAATACAGCCTTATAGTTAACCAAGGATCACAAAACGCCCCAGACATCTACACTCAAATGGAACTAAAGCTCAAAACTAGTCTAGGTGACTGAAAACTATCATATCTCAAACCCTTGAGCTAAATTCTTCCATTTGAGACTCATCTCTTTTCCATTCACCATCCAAGGTCAATGGACTTTTGCTTTCCCGCAACTATTTTCAGAACAGGACCTTGCAGTCATTCTCCCTTTTCCAATCAAGAGATAAAGCTTTTCTTCCAGCTTCTGCCCTAAAGCCAAGAGAGATTGGTGGGAAAAGATGAGGCACAAGAGGAGGGGAGACATGAAGAAAGATGAGAAGAGAGGCTAACTGTCATGACTCGCAGGTCTCTAACCTGGATCTGCAGGTTTCCCGGGCAGCATCATGCTCCAACCCCCTCACTGATGACTTACTAGCATATGCTAGAACCAGGACTCCTTGAAACCCAGCTCACCCAGAACTCGCCTTTGGGCCCCAACTGTTGGAAGACTGGGGCTCCTGATTGGCCTACTTCCCCTGTTTAAGCCAGAAGAAGGAATAAGACGTCATAGAATGATAAAATCATAGGACTAGACGGGACCTCGAGAGGTCATCTAGCCCAGTCCCCTGCACTCATGGCAGGACTAAATATAACTGGGTTCCACCCTGCTTTGAACCGCACATCCAACACTGCCTGCTCCTGATCTCAATCACCTGGTTTCCTGACTCAGCCTGATTCCTGGTATCTAACTTGTAGTTCCTGACCTTCTAGTTCTGAACTCCAGCTGGCAATGGGGACCTGCGCCCACCCCACAAGATAACCACTAGGCCTGACTGCCTACGTCCCAGCCCTGACACTAATAGCCAGAACTCCAGCAGGGGACCCATGAAATAGGTGAGCTAGGGAAGGTTCAAGGACAAAGACAAATTTTGCTGAGGTGTGGAGCCTGCTGCAGGTAGAAAGAAAACGGTACTGTTAATTTAGAAGAGGGGCTGCTAAAGAGCAACATCAAGATTCACTGCTGCTGCAGGGGAGTGGGGGTCATGACCCACCCATCAGGTGAAAAAAGGAGCAAAATGTTTGAATGATCAAAAAATAAAAGGTTTTTTTATGTATCGTTTGTCAATCTTCAGCCTCCTGGACCTTCTGCAATTTCCACTTAGTGGAATTTTGTCAACTACGTCCCATCTTGTTAGCATTCTAAAGTGACAAGTGACTTTGAAAGGGCTACAATATGTCTTCCAATGCACTTATGTAGCGCCTATTTAAGTCAATGGGAGCCATGCCCTTGTACCTACAATCCTAAGGGACTATAATAAAAAAACGTCCTTGCTGGGGCTCTTTATTTGGTTCATGGAGATGAAGAAGCATAGGAAAAGGAGAGAGCCAGAGAGATGACCTACCTGAAATGGGGTCCCAAGTTGAGTGCTGGAGCAAAGGGTTTGTCCGTGACAATCGTGGTACCAATGCCAACAGCCTGGACTGGGATCACATAGGTATTGCTGTTTTGTATGAACAAGTTCATCTTGTCTTGGAATTTCACCGTGTCATCCAAGTTAGCAATCAGAGTCAGCGATACCTCAGCCTCTGGGGGAACTACACCTTCACTGGGCTCAATCCTCCACAACGAGTGACTGCGAGCCTGCAACAAGATCCAGAAGCTAAGATCAGAATAGAGCCATTGGCCTCAATGTACCAGTGAGGCACTACAGGATATGGTTAAAAGGAAGAGAAAGCAATGACGGGCAGGGAAAAAGCAGCATCTCAGGCTGAAATGATTTCTTAAGGAACTCTATGTTTTAATGTTCTAATTCATCACATCTAATAATGAAGGCTGAAACCACATGAGGACTGTTGTAATAATTAAGGGCTAGCAGGCCTATGTGAATTGTGAGCCAAACTGTTGGAAAGTAGGTAAAGGTTCATGAATTATTACAATGACCCGTTATATAAAAATTGTTTAAGAAAGATTTGGGAAGGAAACAGACTAAATTAATTCAAACAGAGCCGGTTTACTGATGCCACTCAAAGACTGTGTTAAGATCATGCCTGGTAGACACGAAAAGTGTGAGACTGGAAATCAGTGGACCAAAATTGGTGCTTCAGAAATTGGGCCTAATTGGTAGATACAATAATGAGAGGATGAGCTATTCTGAGGCACTTAGAAAGGGAAATGGGGGTGAAACCATCACTGTGGCTGCAACGGAAAGATTTTTTCAAAGACACCAGACCCTGAAACTCATCGCTACATCAGTGAGGATCTCAGCCTGATGCATGTGAGATCCTGCTCTGTCTTCCCCTTCCTCAGGTGTCCCTTTCTGTCCCCTGTCCTACCCCCACCTATGGCTTATCACCAGATCCCGAAATCAACTGCATCAGCCCATCTAGTTCTACTCAGCCTGTGACGGACCAGTGAAGGAACCTGACCAGACCAGGCAGATGAGCTGGAATCCAGAGCAAGAGCTGTTATGCCCAAACTGCCAGTCCAAAGCACCATCCAGGACTGACCTGCTGCCCTGTAGCCTGAGAACATAAACAAAAGCCGTATTTCCCCCTCCCTGTTACTGCCCCATCTCTTCTCTCCCTTTTGCATCTGTTTTGTCAAAAAGCAGGAAGGTTACTATTGTTCCCCGACTCAAAATTGAACGGAACTAATCCTTTCCTCTCCACTAAGGAGGACTGTTTGACAGCATGAGAGACACTAACCGATATTCACCTTTTCTAAAAAGAGATTTTGATACGTTTTGATTTTTCTTTTACATAGCCACTCAATTTCAGTTTCAATCCCTTTTGCCTTATTTGATTCCTTTCCTTTTGTGTATTTCAATCAATACATTTCTAACTTCTGGCATGACTTTGCTGGTGTGCTTGCCATGGTACTACGCAGACCACGGTCTCTATATGCCGAACCCCAGACCTTCTTTAAAACTCTTTTGTGTTGGACAGTTTCAGGCTCGTGTTAACACTTTAGATCAACTATATGGGCCCAAAGAGCCAAAATTAATACAACAGGACCCAGGAGATAGTGACTTGCAGGTGAAAGGTTCTATTTCAAATTCAGCTCATGTCAGCAGTGACCGCAAGCGATTACCATCTGATGGCTTATGGCCTATGTGAACTCTATGAAATTGGTTTGATGGTCCTGCTCCAGTTCCTAGGGGAAATAACCAGATAAAAAAAAACAAAAAACCACAACCTCCACCACTGACACTAATTAGCAACCTTGCTGTCAGGGTAGGCAGAGGGGCCACGGACTAAATGAGCCATGGAATCGGAACCCCCTGCTGCTGCAGGGGTTACTTAGTTTGACAATAAAGCTGTAAACTAAAGGAATGACTCTGCAAAACCAACTAATCAAAATCCAGATGCAGCCAGCAAGGTCTTTTCTCAAGAGTTAGGCTGTGGTTTTCAAAGGCATCTAAGGGACTTTGGCATCCAATTTCCAGTGAATTTCAATCGGACTAATTCTCTTAGGCTTTGGAGAATCCAAGTTGTCAAGGTTTATGACAAAACAGTACGTTAGTTAACAATTAGAAAGGAAACCAAAACTGAGCCCTGTGATCCGAGTTTCCCAAGTACTCTCCTCCTTCTGTCTCCTAAGTAGCCCTTCTCAGAGACCTGCCCTTGAAGGCTTGTGCGATGAGGGTGGTAGAAACTGAGCTGAGTTTTTCATAGGAGGCCAGGTAGTGACATGGACCCTGTCAGAGTTGCCCTGCGATAGACACATTTTAATTGGCTCTTGGCCAGTGCTAGGATAAGCTCAAGATGGAATGCAGATAAACCCTAAACATCATAGCTGTACCAGAGAGGGTCTGTGGGCCATTTGTGAACTCTTAGATTTATTCAGAAGGACCCATGCAGGTCGTTTCCACCAGCATCATCCTTAGGCTCCTGTTTTAAGAGAGACTAACTGTCCTCAACAGAATCCCTCAGTGAGCTGTCTCGACAGCTGGGGTAGAAGACACAATCTCCAGCATCTTTTAATTGTACATTTGTGTTTTACTGCTCTGAATAATGCTGAAAGAGGGAAAGGCCATTAAACATGGTCTAGGAGATCCAGAAGGACTCACTCACAACCACCTGAAACAACATGGGAACTACTGGAGAACAGCATTTTTATGAAAAGCTGGGATTTGCTCACTGCTTGAAATGGACTGAAATGCTGTTTGCTTCAAGTGAGATCAGCTCTACTGAGTTTCCGTCCATCAGCCGTGGAGCTCTAACATTATGACAGCCAACTAAATGGAGAAATACATCAGAAAACAAAACAGCACATCAAAGTGCAGGAGCATTTAAAAGGATTCCAAATAACCTCCCCACACAGTTTTAGGTTACTGGGGGAGGGTGTCTAAGGAAGTGGGCAGAGCCAGATTTTAACTGAAAAGTGAAAATGATCCCATGGAATGAGTGTTTGGGGCTGTGCTGGTTTCTGACAGAGCGGACGGGCTGCTCCCCAGTTCTGTGACAGGTCTGCTGCAGACCTGGGGCTTTACAAGGACATTAAATACATTACACTGGCAACATTAACAAACTCAGTCCGATCCAGCTGATTTGCAGCTCCCCACAGCCTCAGGGGGAGGAATCCTTAAAATAGAACTGCAAAGCAAGAGGAGACAGCATAGCAGGGGACGGTCTGTTATGTCTAGCTCCAGTGCCATGCTTCACTGTCTACATAAGGATGGATGCAGATCTAATTACCGGACCCACTTTGCTCCTGCACCTGCTGCCCTCTCTCAGATACAGTCTACTCTTTATTCTTTGGCTTTTGGATCGTGTGTTCCATAACTCTGCTGCTTGGACAGCTACCAGGGTGTTATCTGCCTCTTGTTTCAGATTCCAGGACCTTGTGTTTGGATGTAAAAAAAGCCAAAATCATTCTGGGATGTATTAGCAGGAGTGGTGCAAGTAAGATACGACAAGTAATTCTTCCTCTCTACTCTACGCTGATTAAGCCTCAACTGGAGCATTGTGTCCAGTTCTGGGTGCCACGTTTCAGGAAGGATGTGGACAAACTGGAGAACGTCCAGAGAAGAGCAACAAAAATGATTATTGGTCTAGAAAACATGACCTATGAGGGAAGATTGAAAAAATTGGGTTTGTTGAGTCTGGAGAAGAGAAGACAGAGGGGACATGATCATAGAATCACAGGACTGGAAGGAACCTTGAGAGATCATCTAGTCCAGTCCCCTGCACTCATGGCAGGACTAATTATTATCTAGACCATCTAGGTGTCAGGGATGGTCTAGATAATACTGTCAGGATGGTTAAGCACTGGAATAAATTGCCTAATGTGACAGGGTCAGGCCAGATGGCTACAGAAGAGTGATAGAAGGCAGATATATTAGTCCCAGATTAAGTAGATCCCTTTTCCCCGGGTAAGGTAACAGGGGCAGTTCCAGAACAAGCAGGAACTTGCTGGAACCAGTTAAGGCGGGCAGGCTAATTAGGACACCTGGAGCCAATTAAGAAGAAGCTGCTAGAATCAATTAGGACAGACTGGCTAATCAGGACACCTGGTATAAAAAGGCTCTCACTCCAGTTAGTGAGGTGTGTGTGTGTGTGTGCGCGCGGAGCTGGGAGTGAGAGGACGTGCTGATGGAGGACTGAGGAGTATAAGCATTAAACAGACATCAGGAGGAAGGTCCCGTGGGGAGACTAAAGAAGGTGCTGGGAGGAGGCCATGGGGAAGTAGCCCAGGGAGTTGTAGCTGTCGGGCAGCTGTTCCAGGAAGCACTCTAGACAGCTGCAGTCCACAGGGCCCTGGGCTGGAACCCGGAGCAGAGGGTGGGACCGGGTTTCCCCCAAACCTCCCAACTGATCTGGACTGTGGGTTCTACCAGAGGGGAAGGTCTCTGGGCTGTTCCCCAATCCACATTGTGAATCTCTGAGGCAAGAAAGTCTGCCAATAAGCGCAGGACCCACCAAGATAGAGAAGGAGCTTTGTCACACTAGGGAGGTTGTGTAATCTCCATCATTGGAGATTTTTAAGAGCAGGTTAGACAAACACCTGTCAGGGATGGTCTAGATAATGCTCAGTTCTGCCATGAGTACAGGGGACTGGACTAGATAAGTTATCAAGGTCTCTTCTAGTCCTACAATTCTATGATTCCATGTGAACACCACAACTCTAGCATTCCCATTGAAATGCATGGGTGCTAAAGAAATCTGTGAATAAAACGGTAACCATTGCTCACTCCCCCGGTCAGACCACAGATGATGCATAAAGCCTTCTGCACCTTCTCCAAAGCATTACTGACCAAATGCATTCACTTCTTTTAAGCTTTTAAATCGATGACTTGAAGACATTGCACCATAGAAGCCAGGAGAAGCCCAGCTTGTTCCCGCCATCCCTCTCCACCTCTCCTGCAACCATTACACACCTGGTCACTAGCACTAGGGAAATCCAGTAGGGTGCAGCAAAACAGAGACTATTCTATTAGCACTTTCTATTTCAAGCCAGAAGACATTAGGTTTAGATTGACAGTAATGTTCAATCTATTTTCTGATTCATGCTGACACAAGGTAGCTGGCCTGAAAAGGAGACCGGATAGCTTTGCTGTAGAAGTGAATCTGCGAGACTATCAGATGTAGCTTATTTATCAATGCTTGGCGCAAAGTCAGGCAGCACATTGTACCACAAAA